AAAAAATATGTAAAACCTATGCAGATTCCAAAAACAATTAATTATAAATCAATTATACCGATTAATATGAAATATAATATATTTAAAATGTATATCAATAAAATAAGACAACGAACAACTGAAATAGAAACACAGGAAAAAGAAGTAAATGATATTATCAAAATGTTTATCTTAAATGATTATCCGAAAACATTGTTAATTAAATGGGTTAAAAATATAGAAAACAATAAGCAACCGAAAAAATTAATAGATAAAGAGAAAAAATTTGTAAAAATAAGATATATCCCAAAAGTATATGAAAGAGTCAAAAAATTATTAGATAAGAAAATTAATATAATACCAGAAAAAGTCAATACAACGAAGAAATATCTATGTTATAAACACGAGGGAAAAAATGATATAATGGAAGAAAAAGGTGTAGTGTATTCGTTTAATTGCAATTGTAATCCAGAAAAAACATATATTGGAGAGACAAAAAGAAAATTAAAGATAAGATTAAAAGAACATATCAGAGCAATACGTGGAAATCATGCAAATTCAGCCGTAGCAGAACACTGCAATTCAACAGGATGTGAAATAATATTAAAATCTGTTAAAATAAGAAAAAAAGAAGAAAATAATTATAAACGACAGTTGTACGAACATATTAATATAATCAAAAATATAAATAAATATAATCAATGTTCTTCACTTTCACTAAGTGAAAGTGAAGAACAACGAAAAGAAATGTAAGTTTGAATTAGTATTAAAAGTATAAATTTGTTAAAATTAATATAGAATGACAGTATTTAATGTAATAATTATCGGTTTTATACAGGAATAATTTAAAATTAATATTAATCGTAATTGGAATAAATTATTGGAGAATAAATGGAATAGAAAGAAACAACAACAAAATAGTATGGATTTATAATTTATTATTGTCAATTTTAGAATTTTAAAAATTATTGTCGGGATACTAAGTTTGTTTATTGTTTAAATTTTAGAAATTGTTTGTTAAATACCTGCTGAGGAGGGACATACAAGTCCGAAACACAAATTGTATGTGTCCAGGTAATCATAAATAAACCAATTTTAATCTGTGTGACTGTGTTGCTATAATTCTATACACCAGTATAATAAGTCCTATTAATAGAAATACATGGTTATGGTGATTGAAAGAACAATTTGATTAAATTAGGACATTGATGCAGATTAATTGACTGTATACAGAAATCATTTAAGTCATTTGCTCAACATATGTTGTAGTATGAAGAAGAGGAACCAAGACATTAAGATGTTGCTATGTAATGTATTGCAGAATTGTGCCTCACCAAGTTGTTAGTCATATCCAAAAGGCAGTGGCTGGTAAACAACTGTTGTAAAGCATGGATTCCAGCAAAATGGAAGGAGAATTTCCAGGTTTTTCAAGAAACATTCCATTTTCTGTGTGCAATCCTTAAGGAAATGCAGTGCCTAGATACAAACTACAGGAAATGCATTCTACTGGATAAGAGAACTTCAACAGCTCTATACACACTGTCTTCCACAGCGAAATTTTGGAGTATTGTAAACTTATTTGGAGTAGGCAAGACATCAGTTTTCGAAACATTGCATGAGTTTTGCAGCCTGCTGATCGAAAAACTAGACTCAAAACTAATGTTTCCTGGAACGACAAAAGAGTTGTTAAAAAAAAAAAAGCTGAAGAATTTGAGAATTTATGGCAATTTCTGCAGTGTATTGGGGCAATTGATGGGACTCATATTAAAGTCAGTCCACCAAAGGAACATGCAGTTGATTACTATAACTACAAAAACTTTTATAGTGTTGTACTGCTGGCAATATGTGATGCAAAATACAAGTTCACCTATGTCAATGTTGGTGCACCTGGGAGGAATGACTCCCACGTGTTTCAAAACAGTGGAATCTATCAAATGTGTTCACTTTGTATAGTGAACTAAGGAAAAGATATAATGGGGTTAATGTACCTCAACTTTTATTAGAGTACAGTTGACCCCTCTATAACGCAGGTTCATATAATGTGGATTTGTATATTGCGGCAAAAAAATTGCGACTGTATTCGTATAAAGACGCTAAAAGAGACTCGTAAAATGCGGTAAAACGTCATCACCGACTCGTGTTGTGACAGGATTGGTCGAATCTGGACGAATAGTGGACAAGCAGCCGAACTACTTACACACTACGGAGAGTTTAGGTGGGTAAGTTGAGTTTACTATCATCTGTACTGTATATAAATTAGGTACTGTAAGTCTAATACAGTACTGCAATTTTATACATTTCTTGTGAAAAANCAATAAATAAATAAATAAATATACTAGTAAGTTAATTTATAAAACTAATACAACCTAAACAGAACTAAATGTAATATGTCCTCATAAATTAATGCATTCTTGGAAAATAGATTAATTCCAGGAATGCTATTTTCCAACAAATAAATAAATAATCATATTAATCTTCAGCAATTAATACTGTACTTTCAGGTTTTAATTAAGATTGATAGATTAAGAACTTTTAAAATAAATACTTACAATTGCAACATCTTTCTGACCTTCTTCATAACCTAAAATTAAAAATAAATATTATCTGAATATTGACATTAAAAATAATTCCTTTCTCATTAATCATGTTTTTGTTAAATATAAATTTAAAGTATACAAAAATACAACTTGCATTGTTTTAATGCAGTAATAGCTTCTTGTGTTTTACCAGATTGTTTTAATAGATTTGAAAGTGAAAACCTAGCACCTATATGACAAGGTGCCATTTCTACTACTTTTTTGTAGACTTCAGTTGCTTTTTCTTTTTCATTAACAGCATTAAGACACTCTCCATATCTAAGCCAGACAGCTGCCTGAAAATGGAAATATTTAAGATAAGAATAGGAAATTTTTAAGATACTCGTTTTCATTCTTTACTTACCATGTTATAATTTTCAGAATTAACAAGAAGAGATAATATTGGAATGGCATGAGCATATTCTTTGGCTTGCATGTATGCTTCTGCAATATCTAAATAAAGATCACCTACTTCTTCTGGATTTTCTTGTTTTAATGGCTCTGTTAATGCCTAATTTATTTAATATACAAAGATAACTAATATTTACTAATGCCACTTATATTTAATCATAAAATAAATAGAAAATATAAATACTAAAATATATATATATTATTTGGCCCAAACTAATTTTTCTATTTTTATTATGATATATGTACATGATAAAAATAAATAAATTATTTATATCTGTAATTAATGCAATGAAATAACTAACATTTTTAGATATATCATCTATTTGTATCAGTCTACTTAGTCAAGGAGATACAGTATCAGATTATTAATAGACTTGTATCAGTCTATTAATAAATTTCCATATACAGTACAATATAAAATGGTTTATGATTAACTTAAGAAAATCAAAAAAATTATACAAAAATGAATATGATAAAAAAAATTTTATTTATAGAATTTCAAAGATTTATTTCTAATTATTATATATATAATTAGAAATAAGGAAATTATGCTATTTGATTTAGTTTTACAAAGTAAACTTATTTAGTAAGAAAAATTATAGAAAGCATCAAGAAAATCTTTTTTTGTGCTCATCATGCATTCAAAGATCCTGAGAAAAAAAGGTTTATAATGTATGACAGCACCTGACATATTTAGGTCAAATCATTATTAATGCTTTTTAAAATCCAATCCAGATTTGAACCCAGATTCTACAATAGTAATAAACTGAAGTCTTTGCTGTTTGGACATCTAGCCATTCATGTGTTAGAAATATTTAACATATTATCTTTTTTCTTTTAATTCTTTCAATTCAATAAAATCAGTTCAAAAAAACTTTTTATTTCCTATGTTCAAATCAAATTTCAATGATATTTCATCTTATATCATCTCTCAGATTTAAATTATTCAGATGAATTAAATGATAAAAATTATAGCTATTAATAAAAAAATTAATAGGTTTTTCAAATTAAGTTATTTCTTCCATTGATGTTTATGAAACTAGATGATCAGATCATATTTTTTAAAATAAATTAAATTTAAATATCTATTTTTTGAACTTACTGGAACTAGATGCAATCCTTTACTATGTATCAAACAAACTACCAACTTAATTTGAAGGTCAATTGGCAAAACATCTGGAACATTACAGCTGTGAAATGAAAAAACAAAACAATGATAAAACACATCAAAAAACTTAATGATTATATAAAGGGTGTTCAATAAATAACCAGCCAAATGCAACAGCATGAAATAGAAAATTTATTTCATCAATAATTGCCCTGATTATTAAGGGACTTATCCCATTGTGACACCAGCCTAGTTATGCCCGTTTGAAGAATGTAGCAGGACACTGGTGGAGCCAATGTCAGACAGCATCTTATACTTCAGTGTCTGAAGAAAATCATTGCCTTTAAGTGCCCTTTTGAGTTTCAACACTGTGCACAGTATCAACACTCAAGTGTATTGCAGCTGCAATATGCAATTATTCATTTGTTCACTAGCACCAAGTCTTCCACCATTTGTGCATTTGTGGTGTGGCTGCATTCTGCGGATGTCCCAATCATTGGTCATCCTTCATACTTGAAAATCCTGAAATTTTTTGGCCCACACCTTCACCTGGGCAAGGCTTAGGGTTTATGGACATACCGTGTTTCCCCGAAAATAAGACAGTTTCTTATATTAATTTTTGCTCTAAAAAATGCACTAGGTCTTATTTTCTGCGGATGTCTTATTTTCGGGGAAACACGGTACACCTGATGCATTCACAGATGAATTGCAATGGGTCTGTGACCTTCCATAACAAGGAGCCTGATTACTCCACGCTGTTCAACTTTAGAGACTTCCATTGTCCAACAAAATCACTCAAACAAATGACTGACGCTACAGATGTTTGTATTATATGGTGGTGTCACTTTGGTGCACTGCACATTCTCATGCAAATTTTCTGCTTAGCGCTGTGCTCCTGGACTAGTTATTGAACACCCCTTATAATAATAGTAACATGACATAACAAAATAATGCACAATTATGAATAACATTTTTAACATTTGATTAAATTATAACATTTTTAATACTCCTTTAATGTAGTTGAAGAACTCTTTAAATCAGTTTTCAAATTTATTATAGCATTCATATTCTATTAAGTTGATAACGGAAGGAACAGGAGAGCATACAACAAATTCAAATCAAGTCAAAAACATTTATTTACATTATATTGATAAGCGCAGTTACAAGGGAAGAACTAAAATCGAAAAGATTAACATATAAATTATTACATAAACATATATTTTGAATACATCATGAATTAAATAATATTAAATTTAACTACATATGATGTTTCTTACATATCTGGAAAAGTTATCCAGTCTTAGAATAAAAATAAAGCTTGCTTGGAAAATGAATTGATATAATTCTTCCTTTAACTCTTTAAACACAATGTCAGCTAATTGAAAAGTTGTTAGACTAGTTTTTCTATACAAGTTTCTCTTGTAGCCTGATGGGTAAAAACAATTTAGTCATTAACAACAGAGATGGAGTGAGTTTTCAGAGATTAAAGCATTATACTGTGTTTGCACACAATCCACAACTCACTTCAATCTTGAGTTACCCACAATCTGGATTGTAACTGTTGGCAGTCAAACGTCAAGCTGTTCACACAGACAATCCGCTTGAGAAGAACTGACTATTGCACACAATGATAAAATTGACATAACTACGCGATAAATCATAAACGGTGCTGCCATTTCTAGAGTAATGGTCAATCAAGTGAATGGCTTAATTAATTAATTTTTTTATCTTCAGCTAAAAGATACACAATACATGTTGAAAGTGAATTAATTAAAATTAAGTATTAAGTTTAAATAATTGCATTCATCAGACTTATGAATATATTTTATGATTATTTAAAGACCAGGTGAGATTTCTCTTGTTTGTCAAATTGGGATTACCAAACTAAAACATCAATTATCTCCTTATCAGATGTGAATTAATACCTCTGATAAAACCTAAAAATCCTAAGACATCTTTAGTTATTAAGATTTTTTAAAAACAATGAATTAAGAATTGTTCTGATTATTATTTCATGATAATAGTACAGGGATCTGCGACATAGAATCATTCGTCTTATTTTTTTTTAATCCAAGCATGAGCTAGATGATGGTCGAGTTTAGTCGAGTTTAGATTCCTCAGTTTAGGATAATTTAGGGTAAAACAAAAGTGCCTTTGGGGTAGTTCCACTAGAAGTAGGCAACAGCACTGGTCACTAACACCAACAAACAAAATGTAAGCTGATAACGATGATGTGTTACTGGTAGGCCTATATGCAGCAAAGTTAATAGACATCTGCAATCAAATGACTGTAAACAGATTGTTCTTTCAATCACCATAACCATGTATTTCTATTAATAGGACTTATTATACTGGTGTATAAAATTATAGCAACACAGTCACACAGATTAAAATTGGTTTATTTATGATTACCTGGACACATACAATTTGTGTTTCGGACTTGTATGTCCCTCCTCAGCAGGTATTTAACAAACAATTTCTAAAATTTAAACAATAAACAAACTTAGTTTCCCGACAATAATTTTTAAAATTCTAAAATTGACAATAATAAATTATTGCATAGGTCCAAAACTGGCAGAAATATCAATGATACAAATAGATGAACAGATTAGAAATATAGAAGGAATAGAATTTTATAGCAGGTATGTAGATGATTGTATTATAATATTTGATAAAAGAAAGACAGATGAAAAAACAATTATAAATAAAGCTAATGAAATAAAAGAAAATATTAAATTTGAATTAGAAAAAGAAAAACAAAATAGCATTAATTATTTAGATATAACAATTATAAGAAAAGAAGATAAATTAATTTATAAAAAATATGTAAAACCTATGCAGATTGCTAAAACAATTAATTATAAATCAATTATACCTATTAATATGAAATATAATATATTTAAAATGTATTTAAGTAAAATAAGACAACGAACATCTGAGATAGAAACACAAGAAAAAGAAATAGATGATATTATCAAAATGTTCATTTTAAATGATTATCCAAAAACATTGTTAAATAAATGGGTTAAAGATACAGAAAACAAGAAGCAATCAAAAAAATTAATAGATAAAGAGAAAAAATTTGTGAAAATAAGGTATATCCCAAAAGTTTTTGAGAGTCAAAAAATTATTAGATAAGAAAATTAATATAATACCAGAAAAAGTCAATATAACGGAAAAACATCTATGTTATAGAAATGAGGAAAAAAATGATATAATGGAAGAAAAAGGTGTAGTATATTCGTTTAATTGCAATTGTAATCCAGAAAAAACATATATTGAAGAGACAAAAAGAAAATTAAAGATAAGATTAAAAGAACATATCAGAGCAATACGTGGAAATCATGCAAATTCAGCCGTAGCAGAACACTGCAATTCAACAGGATGTGAAATAATATTAAAATCTGTTAAAATAAGAAAAAAAGAAGAAAATAATTATAAACGACAGTTGTACGAACATATTAATATAATCAAAAATATAAATAAATATAATCAATGTTCTTCACTTTCACTAAGTGAAAGTGAAGAACAACGAAAAGAAATGTAAGTTTGAATTAGTATTAAAAGTATAAATTTGTTAAAATTAATATAGAATGACAGTATTTAATGTAATAATTATCGGTTTTATACAGGAATAATTTAAAATTAATATTAATCGTAATTGGAATAAATTATTGGAGAATAAATGGAATAGAAAGAAACAACAACAAAATAGTATGGATTTATAATTTATTATTGTCAATTTTAGAATTTTAAAAATTATTGTCGGGATACTAAGTTTGTTTATTGTTTAAATTTTAGAAATTGTTTGTTAAATACCTGCTGAGGAGGGACATACAAGTCCGAAACACAAATTGTATGTGTCCAGGTAATCATAAATAAACCAATTTTAATCTGTGTGACTGTGTTGCTATAATTCTATACACCAGTATAATAAGTCCTATTAATAGAAATACATGGTTATGGTGATTGAAAGAACAATTTGATTAAATTAGGACATTGATGCAGATTAATTGACTGTATACAGAAATCATTTAAGTCATTTGCTCAACATATGTTGTAGTATGAAGAAGAGGAACCAAGACATTAAGATGTTGCTATGTAATGTATTGCAGAATTGTGCCTCACCAAGTTGTTAGTCATATCCAAAAGGCAGTGGCTGGTAAACAACTGTTGTAAAGCATGGATTCCAGCAAAATGGAAGGAGAATTTCCAGGTTTTTCAAGAAACATTCCATTTTCTGTGTGCAATCCTTAAGGAAATGCAGTGCCTAGATACAAACTACAGGAAATGCATTCTACTGGATAAGAGAACTTCAACAGCTCTATACACACTGTCTTCCACAGCGAAATTTTGGAGTATTGTAAACTTATTTGGAGTAGGCAAGACATCAGTTTTCGAAACATTGCATGAGTTTTGCAGCCTGCTGATCGAAAAACTAGACTCAAAACTAATGTTTCCTGGAACGACAAAAGAGTTGTTAAAAAAAAAAAAGCTGAAGAATTTGAGAATTTATGGCAATTTCTGCAGTGTATTGGGGCAATTGATGGGACTCATATTAAAGTCAGTCCACCAAAGGAACATGCAGTTGATTACTATAACTACAAAAACTTTTATAGTGTTGTACTGCTGGCAATATGTGATGCAAAATACAAGTTCACCTATGTCAATGTTGGTGCACCTGGGAGGAATGACTCCCACGTGTTTCAAAACAGTGGAATCTATCAAATGTGTTCACTTTGTATAGTGAACTAAGGAAAAGATATAATGGGGTTAATGTACCTCAACTTTTATTAGAGTACAGTTGACCCCTCTATAACGCAGGTTCATATAATGTGGATTTGTATATTGCGGCAAAAAAATTGCGACTGTATTCGTATAAAGACGCTAAAAGAGACTCGTAAAATGCGGTAAAACGTCATCACCAACTCGTGTTGTGACAGGATTGGTCGAATCTGGACGAATAGTGGACAAGCAGCCGAACTACTTACACACTACGGAGAGTTTAGGTGGGTAAGTTGAGTTTACTATCATCTGTACAGTATATAAATTAGGTACTGTAAGTCTAATACAGTACTGTAATTTTATACATTTCTTGTGAAAAAAACATTTCTTATTCAACAGCCATAAAAATTATTTCTATTAATGATGTCTCCAAAGTTCAACAAATTTTTTTGCAGAAAAATAACTTATCAAAAACGCGCTCACCATTTGGTGCGCTGCTCCACGACAAAAACAAGCTTAAGCAATGGCGTCGTTAAACAATGCACACTCGGTAACTAATCCTACAATTTTTTGTTTATAGCATAGTTTATATGGATTATTCCCAAAAAATTATATGTGTTTTGGAAATGTTGAGTCAAATTAGTCTAGAATCGATTAATTTTATGGAAGAAAACCTTTCAAACAGCCGTAGTCCGTAAACTACAAACGTGACAGGCTGTGATTGGTTCATACATTTAAGGATTCCTACAACATGAAATTCTTATAAAGTGGAATGTATCTACCATGTTATAGGGGAGTCAACTGTACTTTTATTAGAGTACTTTTATTATTAATGTACCTCTACTGTGACTCTGCATTTCCACTTATGCTTACCTTAATGAAGCCATTTCCTGACAATGCTGATTTAAGAAAAAGCAATGAGAAAAAGCAATTTGTCTCGAGCCAGAAGAGTGGTGGAAAATGCATTTGGTCATTTAAAGGCACGGTTCAGATTCATCAGCAGAAGATTAGAACTAAATCAAAATAATGTATAATTCCTAGTTCAGGCTTGTTGCATCCTACATAACATATGTGAAGAACTAAATGATAACATACATGACGATTGGCTAAATGAGCTGCAACATGACAATACTGTCAATTCTGCTTCCACAGTAGTATAGGAATATGATCAATCAGCACAAGAAATTAGAAATGCACTTGCCATGTACTTTAACAACTAAGATAAGACTTATTTACTTACACAAACCAAAAATGATTAATACAGATTTTATTAATTATTGTTCTTATTTAAAAGAGCAGCAATTACACCATTAAACTCTTCTTGTAAATTTAAACTTTGGCAAAATAGGTCATTTGGTTCTTTTAATAAACATAATATTTGATTGTCAACATCTCGTTTCCTCATGCTGCCTTTGAATAAGTTGCGAGAGTTCAACAACGTGGCTGGTTTTCTGTTTTTTATTCCATTGCCTACTTTCTTGAAACCTCTTGTTCTGCAGCCATCTTGTTTCTTTTCACACACATGGATTGTGGGATCTCTCTTATGACTGGATCTAGTTTCAAGAACTCTCTTGAATTGATCACGATTGAGAGAGATCACACCACAGCATAGTCACCAACCTTAGTCACAATCTAGATTGAAATGTTCAGTGCAAATGGGGTATTACAGTCTTTGAGAAAGGATAAACCACTGTCCTCTCTAATAGACTCAAGTTCTCTGCATTCACAAAGTGAAAAATGGAAATTGGATCAGAATAATCTCTACACTCGACATTTGTGATCTTGAAAAAATTTTAATCAATCATCGTAAAAAAACTGTTTTGCCTTATATGCATATAAAATCAGAAAACATACAATAAATTTGAAAACAGGTAAGATGTAAATAAAAAAAAATGTCTATAAAAGCATAAGTTCTCCAACTAAATCTAGGAAATTGCATTATATAGTTTCAAAAATAAAAATATAAATCATTCATAACATAGTTATCACTCTTCAATATGAATGATTTATGTTGCATTAAAGTTAAATCATAAAAGGTAACAGAAACAATTCATTTTGTAATACATAATAATATTTTAAACATTCTTTTATAAATTATAATATAGTGGATAATTGGTTAATGAACATAATTGGTTACAAGACCATGTTTGCTACCTGAATTGATCGTTAACCAATTATCAATTTACCATAAATTTTTATGGGAATTTGATTAATTCATTCTGGAGACCCCAAAAAATAAAAAATTATATACTTTCTTACTACATTTATTTATTTGTAATAATAATGATAATAATAATATATACATACACAGTCTTAAATTTTTATCAGTCGTGTTTTTTTCCATTTATGGGATGTTAAAGAATCTGTCCAATGTTGATTTCTTTTTCCTCTTCAGGATTTTTTGGAAGTAATTAATAGCATTGTCATTGTAGAGATTCAAAAACCTATTATCGTGAACCTTGTTTAAATGCCATTCTAAGACTGTTATTCTGACATCTTTCCACTTCTTCAAAAGATCTTTAATAGCAGATGTCTACATTGTTCTTCTTTCATCTTTTTTTTCAGAAAAAAAAACACATCTTGCTGAGATTCTTGGTTCTTCATTCAAGAGTTCTTGTAGTTCATCTGTCATCAAATCAGTTTCAGGTTTCATTATGAACTCTTCAATGTCATCTTCATTCACCTCCAATTTGAGATCTCTAGCAGTTGTCACAATTTCATCCATAATTTCAGGGACATCATCTCCATCTCCCTGAATGCAGGAGGAATACAGCTTTCACCAAGTAGAATTCAACTGTCATTGAATAAGTTCTGACCAAGTCTTTTGAATGAGTCTGATAGCTTTGAGAATATCAAATTTTTCTTTCCAAAACATTTTTAATGTCATCATTGAAGAGAACTGGCATGCTTCAAAACACCTTAAATTATATTTCCTCATGTGACAAATGTGGAGTTTATTTCTTCAGTTCTCCAAAAATTTCTCTAGCTTTCTCTTGAATGATAGTCATACTAGTTACATCTATTTTCATTTCCCTTTCTTTTATCTAAATTAAAAACAATCTCTCCATTTTATCATGGATGGCACATCTTTGTTTCTCAGATGTAATTTTCATTACGCCTTTAGCTACTTGAGCTTCTTGATTATATTTTGCTTAACTAAGATTGTGCCTACTGTAGACCTGTTGAAGCCATACTGCCTAGCAACATCAGACATCTTCTGCCCACTTTCTCCCTTGGCTATTACCTCATGCTTGGTTCTATGATGAGCACAGTTCTTGACATTCCACTCTTTTTAGGCTCCATAATATTATCAGTTTCTTTTTTTAAATAAAATGTTCAGAAAAGCATTTACGAAAATTCATAAATCAACTAGTGCAGAAAAATGTGAAGCTTGAACAAAATTCAAAATTTAGTGTTAAAATGTTAACGAATATCTGATGGGACAGTTAAACTCTCACTTTTTGAGAATAAAAACAGATGCAAAACTTAATGAGTGTCCAACAGTCTCACAGATTATAAAAAATTCTTTGTTAAAAAGGTAAATAAAAGGTTGGAATTATAAGGGAGCATTTCAAAGTTTGGAAGAATACTATCCAATTAGTATCAGGTTGAGCGTCGATGTCAACGTCTCCCGTACTCCAAAATGTTTCGAATTGTCACCTGGAGATAAGGGAAGACCAATTGGTATTCATTATTTTACATTGCTTCTTCTTGTGTTTGTTCTGTGAGGTGTTCATTATTTGAACATGTGTTTGTTGTTTGATTTGTTCACAGTCCAAACTGTTCATTAACCAATCACCCACTGTATAAGAAAAGAAGTGTATTCACTTAAAGGTTTACTTTGGATAATGTAAAACCTCAGTTAATTGAGACTTAGATAATCAAGGTTCTACTGTATAATAAATGCAGTAGAATCTATTAATTGTAATCATATTTACTTACTCTGCTTAATACTATCAGTATAGGCAATTCCAAAGTGATTATGGTAAGCAGATTCTACTGTGTAGGAAATTTAAGGTCAAAGTCATGCCAATAACTTTGCTTTGATAAAAAGGATGATCTCCAAAATGAGTTCTATATTCATAAAATATAAAAACAGGTATTTTCTATTCCTTATCAATAAGTATAAAGTTAAATACAGAAAAATAAACTTTCTTTCTTTTACTCAAGTATTAATTTTAGTGTGTTTCTGTTAGTATATTAAGAACATACAAAAAAGACTCATAATTTGTATATTTCTATAATATGCCTCTAAAATAATGAATATTTTAATGAAATTATTTTAATTCTGATAAATATTTTCTCAATACCCTGTATATAACATGTAGATTTGCCATATAGCCATTAGAAAAATTAATAAATAATAATTACTATTCAACATCTTGAAGCCCATCTTCCAAAGATACTTCTTTATTAGTTGTTTTTGATATTAGTGTAACACCACAATGTTTTCTTAATATCTAAATAAATAAAATAATATTCATCTTTAAAATATAAAGAATTAAAAAACTTTTAAATCATTCAATGAAATTAATTTATTATAGCTCCCGATTAACCTTTCTGAAAATTCAACCAATATTGATAGCATCAATTCATTTTTAAAAATTAATTGTTATTCTAAACTTAATAACTAATTAACTCTAAATAATAATGTAAATAACATATTCATATTATTTTATTATTACTAATTTAGTATATTTTTATCTTTTTTCTCATAGGAACATTTTTCAGCATATATTTGTTTAACTCCCAATTTGATGTTTAATTAACAAAAAATAAGCTTAATAACTATTTGCAACTGAAATGCAAACATAATATTGATATTTCTCAGTGAATATAGTTGTTTACATCATTCATACATAATCTAAGAAGTAATAAATATGTGAGTCATATCACACACTGACTTTATTCAAAAAAATTGTTTTGATTTGCTGTTCCTACTCTTTTCCAGTGATGTAGTTGATTTATTGACAATGTAATGAATGTATTATTAATAAAGATAATTTGTAACATTAATCATATTTATATATCTGGCAATACAATGTTTTCCTCAAATTCTGTTATAACCCTAAAAAAATTTTTTTTTAATTTATAAAATATGATAATTGAGAAATTTTTACACTAATGCTTAGATGATATCCATAAATAGAAAAATTAAAATTATATTTTAATAATTGTATAAATACCATAGTTAGATGAGTAGTTTTAATTGTACCATCTATGACAATTTAACATATTTGATTTCAATTAGTTATCACCCTTCTATAGTTAATCAAAAATCTAAATCTTCAGTTCAGTTAACTTAAAATAAACATAAAATGACTTGAAAGTGATAGTTAAGCCATTATCTTGTACTAATGTTTTTAACATTAATTTGAATATGTTAAAAAATTTTGGAAGAAAAAGCTTAGCTTTGAGTAGGACACAAATCCAATTACTACTTACCGCACAGATGCATTACTAATTGCACTACCCAAATTTCTGTGAAGTCTGTTTCCAGACATATATCCATCTATCTAGATTATTTACTATTATACATAGGTTAATACCACAACCAATAACTGTAAACTATTATGTTTATATATCTCCTTGACTCTCCGTCAAATTTTGAATTATTAGAATTAAATATCAAAATCTAATTCTAGTTACAAAATGACAGCCTAACTACAATCTTTAGGCAAAATTACATTGTTTATATAAGCTCAAAATATCGCTGAAAAATAATCTAGAAACTTAATTATTATTGTTATAATAATGAAATTAATTAAAATATAAAATATATTGAAGCTACAAAATGTCTTCATTTTCAAAAAAAAAATTTATTTTTTTTTTGAAAATTGTTTGATCAATAAAAATCAATTTTATTTTGATAAATTTGATCAATAAAAATCAATTTATTTTATCAATCAAAATTATCAATTTCAATTGATCAATTGAAAATTGTTGATCAATAAAAATATTTTTTTTATTGATCAACAATTATAGTCTTCATTTTCCATCATTTACAACACCAGTGACAGTCCAAAACCATTTCCACTTAAGGAGATAACCTTTTATTTGAGGCTATGCCTCCACAAAGAAATGAAAAATGGTTAAAAATGTCCTCTGGTGTTGTGAACAACAGAAAACGAAGATATTTTATAGCTTCAATATATTTACATATTATATATTTTAATGTAATTAGTCAGCCAAATTTTTAACTTTACTCAACAGTATTGTGAATTTGATTTTGGCATAATCACCAGAGGACATTTTTATTCATTTTGGATTTTTTTGTGGATATGTAGTCTCAAATAAAAAGTTATTTCCATAAGTGAAAACCATTGTGGCCTGTTGCTGGTGTTTTGAATGATAAAAAATGATGACATTTTGTAGTTTCAGTATATTTATCTATTTTATATTTTAATGTAAATTTTTTACATTAAAATATAAAATATCAGCAGCCAAGTTTTTAGTTTTACTCAATTAAATTAATAAAACATTAATGAAAATTAACAAAGTGATAATGTCTGAATAAAATTTAAAATGAAACATACTTAAATTATACTTATATATTATAATGTTCAATATAAAATTTATTATAAACAAGAGATACTTCAAATGATGAAAGTATTCTCAATTTCATCATCAAAAAATAATAGTATTTCATCACCTTAATGCAATGTAATTAAATTGCAAATAGCTTTATTTTTATTAAATAATAAATAATAAAGTTTTAATTTCTTAATAAATATTTTCTATTATTGATTGCTAAATAAAATATTTATTATTTTACAAATAATGTTAAAATATTAAAATAGAAATAAAATAAAATCAATTTAACAGAAATAATGATATTTACTTATATAGATAATATATATAAAAATAACATACATTTATAGCATCAAAGTATTTTTGCTGACTAATCTGCAATTCTAACAAAAAATTCACATCTGAAATTAATCAATTAATCATTAGTAATTCAAACAAATTCTTTATTTCAAATATCAGCAATATTAAATCACAATATTTTTATGAAATATTTTGAAAAGTTACTAATAATATATAATTAATTATCTACTTGTTTATTTAAATATATAAATTCTCTGTAGCCTTCAGAATAAAATTTGAAAAATGAAATATCAGCAGATGGAAAAATATATTTGGTAGAATGAAAATACTGAATTATTCATCAATTGACAAAAATATAAGCATGTAATATTAAATAGATCTTAAAATAAATCAAAATTTGACAAACCTTTTAATTTTATTCAGTCACTTTTATATTTATATCAATTTATTGATAACTGCTTGAAAAATTACGATATAAGTTGTCGAGATATTAAGATACTATCAAATTACACTATTAATATTTAATTAGAGCTCAATATTATTGTTCTCATTTTCGATTAAAATATTTAGATATTTATTGCATAAAATATTTTCCTCCTAAATAGAAAAATAGGCTTGACAAATATTTTTAGCATTCACATGCATGTGTGTGCATAAATATGTATATTGCATTAAAAAATATTATTTATAAATTTATAAGAATGTGATAAATATCCAACTTAAGGATTCCAATTGTCATAGCAACAAAATAAATTGTGTAAATTTAAAAATATATATTTATAGTTTGCAAGTGTTGTAATGTTTATGTAACTTTAATGTAACTATTTTTTAACTATATAAATTTCAATAAAAAATAGAATAAATGTATGTAAATAATAAAAGGTGAATAAACACTATTTTAAGTGTGGTTTTGCATTAACTTATAAATTTATTTTAATAAAAAACTACATATCCTATTAGAAAAGTACAAAACATAAATATCTATTAAGCAATTAAAAACTTTAAAGCAAAACTACTGTAAACTCTGATGGCAGCAACATTGTCAATTTAGAATTACAAGAATTGGCAAAATTAGGAGTTGTGCAATTTGGACTTTTTCATACATATTTTTGAAAGGTCTGTTTTTGACAATTTTGAATAACCATTCAAATGAAGAATATAATATAGTATTAACACATGACAAGATGGAAAAAAATCAATTTAATACTATTAGGAATTTTGTGCAGAAAAGATGAAAGGAAGGAGAGTCCAAAGAACATTCTATTAAAAAAGAAAAAATTACCCAAACATTTAAAAAATTAGTTTAAATAGCATCCTTAAGCTGCGAGTCCACCCGAGAATTGTTTTACTCTAGTTCTGCTGAGAATGAGATTCTAACAACTCTCAAAGTCATATTCACTTGTTTAGCAAGTGTCTATTGACTCAGCTGATGATAAAATGGGAACAACATAGAATGGCTATCATTATGTACACAATTTTAGAATGTAAAAATCCATCCTCACCATAGAATGTGCTGGGTAAGACAATGAATACCAAGTACAATGTTGTAATAAAAACTGAAGCTTGTTCATCATTAATCAACAAACTGCACATAGAAGACGCTCAAAATTTTAGAAACTTTTTCATCACTTTTTCATTCTTTGTATCCTAAAATATTTTTTCCATTTTTACATTGGACAAGTTTTCAGCATTTAGTAACATTTAACATAAAAATCTGCTTTATTCTGAACATTTTTTTCCATTTAGGCAGGTTTCTATTTTGGACAGGCTTTATTGTAATAAAAAAATTCTGTATTAAACAAAATTAATGTATATCAACTATAATCAATAATATTATAAAATGGACAATTGTGAGAATCAGGATTTTATTAGTTAATTAGCGTGGAAAATATATTTAGTTTTTTTTTACTTGTTTACCAAAAAAGAACACACATTCAACACTTCTACAAAAGAAGAAAATCAACTTCCCTTCTTACAAGACCTTATCTACAACTTTGACAGCCATCTGGGTGGCTAACCCTCCTGTACGTCCCCGCACATCCCATTAGCAACTGTAAATCCTTTAACGCTATTGGCCAGAAATTTTGATAAGGGGTGATTTTCCCGCCATCTAGGCAGTCAATAGAAATCCAATATTTGCCACACAGATGACAGGCAGTTCATCATAAGTTGAACTTGCCATAGGAGACACATTTCATCATATTCTGAACAGGCTATAGCATCATAGAAGAGTCTAAAGATTTAACTTTGTGCGCTGCCAAATAAGAAGATAGTTTCCATTAATTCATTGTCCTCCTCTATGAGTTCAAAGCTACAGAAAAAGACTACCAACCAATCAATATTCGAGGTAGTATGTTTGATATCTGTAAACTCTCCCTCTCTTATTATCAATATATTCTCGGATTAGAGGTGTAAATAGGGTTAAACTTGATCATGTAAACTTGTATTTGTAGTATTATATTGTATCTCATTATTGCTATCTTTTATATTAGTAAACCTTTTATTTGTTGGTTAATTAGTTTGACTGATTAAGTACAGACTATTCACCCTGCTACGACTTGAACACAACTCCTCCACTCGATAGAACAAACCCTCCTATTTAAACTTATATCGTAAACGAGTGATAGGATGCAAATCTCATCCCTATCTGGTGTCAGTTCTGATGGTCAAACAAGTCAAAAGATTCAGGCGACATATCTATATTAAAAGCCATCTTAAGACCCCATGAGCGGGTCTCAACGCCCCGATTGTTTAGCCCTTAGCGTGATCTCACAGAATATTTTAGTAACTTTTAAAATGTTACAACATTAATTTTGTTTATATGTTAAGTATTGTTATAATCTTTCTAATATAAGCTGGAAATTGTAAAAACAGACTAAACAGATGCAGTGGTTATGTTAAAAAAAAACTGGTAAATATTAGTTATTAGTTAATTTTTTTTATTGGTATTTAATTTTCTTTTCTATAATTACCTGTCCTTTACTTACAGTTTAATACATCTGAGAATAATACTAAAATTAATTACTATAATATATGATCAAAACATTTATTTCTATTGTTCATATAAAATTATAAAATGGATAATAAATAAATTTATAAAATAAAATGGTTTGTAATGTACATCTATCTCAAACAACTGCACTTACAATTCTTTATGCAGATTGTCTGGCATGTTGGTCTATTCAGGGGAGACCATGGAATCAGATAGTCATTAATTGTTTTATTGTCTTGTAAACAAAAATGCTCTTCCTGACTTTAAGTCAGCCAAATTACAATGTTATTATTTTATTGTACTCGGAAATATGTTTTCTTTAACATTTAATTAACAACTAGTTTTGCAAGATTTGATTAATTTTATATTTTAGTTGCAGTTTAATTGGCCTGCCATTAGCCTGGGGGTTTCTGGCATGCTGGTCTCCCCGTTTATATGCAGCAAGACAGTCATTCCATAAATATATGGTAAAACTTAAATGTTGTCTGGAGCTGGATCTGCAACTGCAGTTGCCAGATTTCTACAACTAGATTAAAGGACTTAAAAATGATTAAATGCTATTACTCGCCAACTTCCATTTCATCACATGTCATCTGTCAATATATGATTTTTAAATTTATCTCAATAATTTTAAATCTGTGAGTTTGAATTGGAATGATCTTACATTCAAAACAGCACTTATCTAATTCAATTGTAAAGCAATTGAATTAGATGACTGCAATTGTATTTTAAAAGTAATCTAATTCAATTGTGAGCCTGATAAAAGCCTATCAGTAAATCCAAAACGTTTGAATGAGCTGTATGAAATGTTGTTAGAAAGTAAAGGTGTTCATTTATAAGTTTATAAAAAAATATGTTAAAAGAATTAAAATTGCATAATTTTAAAATTTATTAATTTTATGATTCACCCAATATTGTTTCTGTTACCAAATTTAACAAGTAGCATAATGTCAATAATTATACGTAAATAATGATTAAAACAATTAATATTTAAGATTTGAAGGTCTGATTAAGACTGATAGCACAAAAAGAAATTAAAGTTGCCTATTTATTCAAAAATAATAGCAATAAAGACTGTACCATACATAATTTTCAACTTTTATAATACAAAAATAGGTTTTTATGTACATGGATAAGAATCAAGTATATATCTGACAGAGCAGATGTGTTAAATAATAAATAATTTACTATTTAGAATAAAACTAAATTATTCATATATAACTAGGAATATTTTGAAACATCACCTTCTGAAGTAATTAGAGATGAACATTTATTGAATGCTTGTTCCATTACATGAATAGCAGAAGATACATCTCCAATCTCATGATATTGCTAAAAATAAAAAATATCACAATGAATGTAAATTTTATAAATATATTATTTAAATGTATGTTTACTTTCAAAATTATTTATTTCAAAAATAATTCAAAATAAATAATGAAATTATTAATTAATTAGTTTTATGGCTCAAGATACTATTAGACTAAACTTCATCTCATGTCAATAACAATATAAGTTAGTATGTTGAAACTAACTAATATTGTTATATACATATTTATAGTTATAAAATAATTCAATGCATGAAGCATTTCCTTATTTTTTTAAATTCAAAAAATTTCTTCAACAAAACTTAATTTTTTTTTTAAATTCTTAAATGCTATATATTATTAATGAAATAATTTAAAATAGAGTAATAATTTGAACAAGTTTCACTTCATTCAAAATTTATAAGTAAAAAAAAAACAGATTATAAAAGGAGGAAAATATTTCTGATGGCAACTGCTACAGTTCTGGAAAAAATGTGAAATAGTTTTTATGCAAACTAACAAAACTTGCAATTGTACTCATTATAATTATACTTTTCATAAAGGTTTTTTCAAAAACTTTATCATTAATATACAAATCAAGAAAAGTATATAACTTCTACTAGAAATTGAGAAAGCTGTGAATTCATCTAAAAATTTAAACTTAACTAAATAATTGAAAAATAAATAACAAAAATTACAAAAATAACAATTATTTTAATAAGAGTAATATATAATAAATTAATATCTACATAGTAAATAAATTCCTAACAAAAAAAATAATGTGTTACAGTAGAGCCTCGATTATCCGACTCAATTGGGGACTGGGGTTGGTTGAATAACCGAAAAGTATGAAAAAATCCATTATTAGTGTAGTATATTATTATATCCCATGTAATTAGTATATCGCTATTAACCTACTTTGCGTTGAATTTTCATCGACGTTAAGCCTAACAAAAATTTTTTAAAATAATAATCGTCACTATTGTATCGTTAAAAATTAGAAAATTAAGCCTCGTTTAAATACTGGCTCCCTTTCATGGTCGAATGAGTGTTGCCAGCTAAAACATGTAAAAATAATATTAAAGTAGCCAAGACAGTCAAATATTGTCACATCACTAGCGGACATTTGAAATTTGCCAACTAGGACAGTCGGTTAATCGGGGGTCGGATAATCGAGGCTCTACTGTANTGAAATTAATTAAAATATAAAATATATTGAAGCTACAAAATGTCTTCATTTTCAAAAAAAAAATTTATTTTTTTTTTGAAAATTGTTTGATCAATAAAAATCAATTTTATTTTGATAAATTTGATCAATAAAAATCAATTTATTTTATCAATCAAAATTATCAATTTCAATTGATCAATTGAAAATTGTTGATCAATAAAAATATTTTTTTATTGATCAACAATTATAGTCTTCATTTTCCATCATTTACAACACCAGTGACAGTCCAAAACCATTTCCACTTAAGGAGATAACCTTTTATTTGAGGCTATGCCTCCACAAAGAAATGAAAAATGGTTAAAAATGTCCTCTGGTGTTGTGAACAACAGAAAACGAAGATATTTTATAGCTTCAATATATTTACATATTATATATTTTAATGTAATTAGTCAGCCAAATTTTTAACTTTACTCAACAGTATTGTGAATTTGATTTTGGCATAATCACCAGAGGACATTTTTATTCATTTTGGATTTTTTTGTGGATATGTAGTCTCAAATAAAAAGTTATTTCCATAAGTGAAAACCATTGTGGCCTGTTGCTGGTGTTTTGAATGATAAAAAATGATGACATTTTGTAGTTTCAGTATATTTATCTATTTTATATTTTAATGTAAATTTTTTACATTAAAATATAAAATATCAGCAGCCAAGTTTTTAGTTTTACTCAATTAAATTAATAAAACATTAATGAAAATTAACAAAGTGATAATGTCTGAATAAAATTTAAAATGAAACATACTTAAATTATACTTATATATTATAATGTTCAATATAAAATTTATTATAAACAAGAGATACTTCAAATGATGAAAGTATTCTCAATTTCATCATCAAAAAATAATAGTATTTCATCACCTTAATGCAATGTAATTAAATTGCAAATAACTTTATTTTTATTAAATAATAAATAATAAAGTTTTAATTTCTTAATAAATATTTTCTATTATTGATTGCTAAATAAAATATTTATTATTTTACAAATAATGTTAAAATATTAAAATAGAAATAAAATAAAATCAATTTAACAGAAATAATGATATTTACTTATATAGATAATATATATAAAAATAACATACATTTATAGCATCAAAGTATTTTTGCTGACTAATCTGCAATTCTAACAAAAAATTCACATCTGAAATTAATCAATTAATCATTAGTAATTCAAACAAATTCTTTATTTCAAATATCAGCAATATTAAATCACAATATTTTTATGAAATATTTTGAAAAGTTACTAATAATATATAATTAATTATCTACTTGTTTATTTAAATATATAAATTCTCTGTAGCCTTCAGAATAAAATTTGAAAAATGAAATATCAGCAGATGGAAAAATATATTTGGTAGAATGAAAATACTGAATTATTCATCAATTGACAAAAATATAAGCATGTAATATTAAATAGATCTTAAAATAAATCAAAATTTGACAAACCTTTTAATTTTATTCAGTCACTTTTATATTTATATCAATTTATTGATAACTGCTTGAAAAATTACGATATAAGTTGTCGAGATATTAAGATACTATCAAATTACACTATTAATATTTAATTAGAGCTCAATATTATTGTTCTCATTTTCGATTAAAATATTTAGATATTTATTGCATAAAATATTTTCCTCCTAAATAGAAAAATAGGCTTGACAAATATTTTTAGCATTCACATGCATGTGTGTGCATAAATATGTATATTGCATTAAAAAATATTATTTATAAATTTATAAGAATGTGATAAATATCCAACTTAAGGATTCCAATTGTCATAGCAACAAAATAAATTGTGTAAATTTAAAAATATATATTTATAGTTTGCAAGTGTTGTAATGTTTATGTAACTTTAATGTAACTATTTTTTAACTATATAAAGTTCAATAAAAAATAGAATAAATGTATGTAAATAATAAAAGGTGAATAAACACTATTTTAAGTGTGGTTTTGCATTAACTTATAAATTTATTTTAATAAAAAACTACATATCCTATTAGAAAAGTACAAAACATAAATATCTATTAAGCAATTAAAAACTTTAAAGCAAAACTACTGTAAACTCTGATGGCAGCAACATTGTCAATTTAGAATTACAAGAATTGGCAAAATTAGGAGTTGTGCAATTTGGACTTTTTCATACATATTTTTGAAAGGTCTGTTTTTGACAATTTTGAATAACCATTCAAATGAAGAATATAATATAGTATTAACACATGACAAGATGGAAAAAAATCAATTTAATACTATTAGGAATTTTGTGCAGAAAAGATGAAAGGAAGGAGAGTCCAAAGAACATTCTATTAAAAAAGAAAAAATTACCCAAACATTTAAAAAATTAGTTTAAATAGCATCCTTAAGCTGCGAGTCCACCCGAGAATTGTTTTACTCTAGTTCTGCTGAGAATGAGATTCTAACAACTCTCAAAGTCATATTCACTTGTTTAGCAAGTGTCTATTGACTCAGCTGATGATAAAATGGGAACAACATAGAATGGCTATCATTATGTACACAATTTTAGAATGTAAAAATCCATCCTCACCATAGAATGTGCTGGGTAAGACAATGAATACCAAGTACAATGTTGTAATAAAAACTGAAGCTTGTTCATCATTAATCAACAAACTGCACATAGAAGACGCTCAAAATTTTAGAAACTTTTTCATCACTTTTTCATTCTTTGTACCCTAAAATATTTTTTCCATTTTTACATTGGACAAGTTTTCAGCATTTAGTAACATTTAACATAAAAATCTGCTTTATTCTGAACATTTTTTTCCATTTAGGCAGGTTTCTATTTTGGACAGGCTTTATTGTAATAAAAAAATTCTGTATTAAACAAAATTAATGTATATCAACTATAATCAATAATATTATAAAATGGACAATTGTGAGAATCAGGATTTTATTAGTTAATTAGCGTGGAAAATATATTTAGTTTTTTTTTACTTGTTTACCAAAAAAGAACACACATTCAACACTTCTACAAAAGAAGAAAATCAACTTCCCTTCTTACAAGACCTTATCTACAACTTTGACAGCCATCTGGGTGGCTAACCCTCCTGTACGTCCCCGCACATCCCATTAGCAACTGTAAATCCTTTAACGCTATTGGCCAGAAATTTTGATAAGGGGTGATTTTCCCGCCATCTAGGCAGTCAATAGAAATCCAATATTTGCCACACAGATGACAGGCAGTTCATCATAAGTTGAACTTGCCATAGGAGACACATTTCATCATATTCTGAACAGGCTATAGCATCATAGAAGAGTCTAAAGATTTAACTTTGTGCGCTGCCAAATAAGAAGATAGTTTCCATTAATTCATTGTCCTCCTCTATGAGTTCAAAGCTACAGAAAAAGACTACCAACCAATCAATATTCGAGGTAGTATGTTTGATATCTGTAAACTCTCCCTCTCTTATTATCAATATATTCTCGGATTAGAGGTGTAAATAGGGTTAAACTTGATCATGTAAACTTGTATTTGTAGTATTATATTGTATCTCATTATTGCTATCTTTTATATTAGTAAACCTTTTATTTGTTGGTTAATTAGTTTGAATGATTAAGTACAGACTATTCACCCTGCTACGACTTGAACACAACTCCTCCACTCGATAGAACAAACCCTCCTATTTAAACTTATATCGTAAACGAGTGATAGGATGCAAATCTCATCCCTATCTGGTGTCAGTTCTGATGGTCAAACAAGTCAAAAGATTCAGGCGACATATCTATATTAAAAGCCATCTTAAGACCCCATGAGCGGGTCTCAACGCCCCGATTGTTTAGCCCTTAGCGTGATCTCACAGAATATTTTAGTAACTTTTAAAATGTTACAACATTAATTTTGTTTATATGTTAAGTATTGTTATAATCTTTCTAATATAAGCTGGAAATTGTAAAAACAGACTAAACAGATGCAGTGGTTATGTTAAAAAAAAACTGGTAAATATTAGTTATTAGTTAATTTTTTTTATTGGTATTTAATTTTCTTTTCTATAATTACCTGTCCTTTACTTACAGTTTAATACATCTGAGAATAATACTAAAATTAATTACTATAATATATGATCAAAACATTTATTTCTATTGTTCATATAAAATTATAAAATGGATAATAAATAAATTTATAAAATAAAATGGTTTGTAATGTACATCTATCTCAAACAACTGCACTTACAATTCTTTATGCAGATTGTCTGGCATGTTGGTCTATTCAGGGGAGACCATGGAATCAGATAGTCATTAATTGTTTTATTGTCTTGTAAACAAAAATGCTCTTCCTGACTTTAAGTCAGCCAAATTACAATGTTATTATTTTATTGTACTCGGAAATATGTTTTCTTTAACATTTAATTAACAACTAGTTTTGCAAGATTTGATTAATTTTATATTTTAGTTGCAGTTTAATTGGCCTGCCATTAGCCTGGGGGTTTCTGGCATGCTGGTCTCCCCGTTTATATGCAGCAAGACAGTCATTCCATAAATATATGGTAAAACTTAAATGTTGTCTGGAGCTGGATCTGCAACTGCAGTTGCCAGATTTCTACAACTAGATTAAAGGACTTAAAAATGATTAAATGCTATTACTCGCCAACTTCCATTTCATCACATGTCATCTGTCAATATATGATTTTTAAATTTATCTCAATAATTTTAAATCTGTGAGTTTGAATTGGAATGATCTTACATTCAAAACAGCAATTATCTAATTCAATTGTAAAGCAATTGAATTAGATGACTGCAATTGTATTTTAAAAGTAATCTAATTCAATTGTGAGCCTGATAAAAGCCTATCAGTAAATCCAAAACGTTTGAATGAGCTGTATGAAATGTTGTTAGAAAGTAAAGGTGTTCATTTATAAGTTTATAAAAAAATATGTTAAAAGAATTAAAATTGCATAATTTTAAAATTTATTAATTTTATGATTCACCCAATATTGTTTCTGTTACCAAATTTAACAAGTAGCATAATGTCAATAATTATACGTAAATAATGATTAAAACAATTAATATTTAAGATTTGAAGGTCTGATTAAGACTGATAGCACAAAAAGAAATTAAAGTTGCCTATTTATTCAAAAATAATAGCAATAAAGACTGTACCATACATAATTTTCAACTTTTATAATACAAAAATAGGTTTTTATGTACATGGATAAGAATCAAGTATATATCTGACAGAGCAGATGTGTTAAATAATAAATAATTTACTATTTAGAATAAAACTAAATTATTCATATATAACTAGGAATATTTTGAAACATCACCTTCTGAAGTAATTAGAGATGAACATTTATTGAATGCTTGTTCCATTACATGAATAGCAGAAGATACATCTCCAATCTCATGATATTGCTAAAAATAAAAAATATCACAATGAATGTAAATTTTATAAATATATTATTTAAATGTATGTTTACTTTCAAAATTATTTATTTCAAAAATAATTCAAAATAAATAATGAAATTATTAATTAATTAGTTTTATGGCTCAAGATACTATTAGACTAAACTTCATCTCATGTCAATAACAATATAAGTTAGTATGTTGAAACTAACTAATATTGTTATATACATATTTATAGTTATAAAATAATTCAATGCATGAAGCATTTCCTTATTTTTTTAAATTCAAAAAATTTCTTCAACAAAACTTAATTTTTTTTTTAAATTCTTAAATGCTATATATTATTAATGAAATAATTTAAAATAGAGTAATAATTTGAACAAGTTTCACTTCATTCAAAATTTATAAGTAAAAAAAAAACAGATTATAAAAGGAGGAAAATATTTCTGATGGCAACTGCTACAGTTCTGGAAAAAATGTGAAATAGTTTTTATGCAAACTAACAAAACTTGCAATTGTACTCATTATAATTATACTTTTCATAAAGGTTTTTTCAAAAACTTTATCATTAATATACAAATCAAGAAAAGTATATAACTTCTACTAGAAATTGAGAAAGCTGTGAATTCATCTAAAAATTTAAACTTAACTAAATAATTGAAAAATAAATAACAAAAATTACAAAAATAACAATTATTTTAATAAGAGTAATATATAATAAATTAATATCTACATAGTAAATAAATTCCTAACAAAAAAAATAATGTGTTACAGTAGAGCCTCGATTATCCGACTCAATTGGGGACTGGGGTTGGTTGAATAACCGAAAAGTATGAAAAAATCCATTATTAGTGTAGTATATTATTATATCCCATGTAATTAGTATATCGCTATTAACCTACTTTGCGTTGAATTTTCATCGACGTTAAGCCTAACAAAAATTTTTTAAAATAATAATCGTCACTATTGTATCGTTAAAAATTAGAAAATTAAGCCTCGTTTAAATACTGGCTCCCTTTCATGGTCGAATGAGTGTTGCCAGCTAAAACATGTAAAAATAATATTAAAGTAGCCAAGACAGTCAAATATTGTCACATCACTAGCGGACATTTGAAATTTGCCAACTAGGACAGTCGGTTAATCGGGGGGGGGTCGGATAACCGAGGCTCTACTGTATATAAAATATCAATAATTTTATACAGGGTATCTGAAAAAAAATAATACATAACAAAATTTCTATTTATCATTGAAAATGAATTGCACAGCAGTTATAGCAACTCTAACAAATACATTAATAAGATTAATATAAATAATAGTAGTTAATTATTTACACAGAAATTAAATTTCATATTTTATTTATACTAGAATTGAAAGATACTATTTTATGAAAGGATTTGAAAATTTTACAAACTTTTGTAGTTTCTCTTGAAAGTTGAACATATTGTTGTTCTTGTTCAGGTTTTAGTTGCTTCAAAATAGCTTCATAACCACTTAATGCTTTTTTCTTCTCTCCCAACTGTTCATATAATTTGCATCTTTCCCACAAATAATGAATATTTTCAGAATCGTATTTGATAGCTAAAATCCATAATACATAAGTAATCCATAAATTTGAAATTAAAGAAATAAACTAAATTGCTTTATATTTCTACATTTATTTTAAATTTAACCTTACCATGTGAATAGTAAGTAATTGCATCTTTGATTTTTCCTTGTTCTAAAGCCATTTCTGCTAGTTTATTCCATTCATCAGAATCGCTAGGATTAAGGTAAGCACCTATCAATGAAAACTAAGCAAAAAAAATATTAAATTATTGTAAAATATAAATTATGATATATTAAATATTACAATTAATAAGTAGTGAATTAAAATAAAAAGTAATGTCATAAAACTTAATAGTAAATTATTACATTTTAATAGAGATAATTTTTACAAACTTTATTTTCACAGTATAAATAAAATGGATTATTATATACTTAATAAATTCATTTTTTAATATCTACAAAGACGAATTTAATATATTTTTATTTCATATCATATATTAATGAAATTATAAATTACTCATGCAACACAGAAAATTAGTCCACAAAAACAAAAAGGAGAATAAGCTTGAAGTTAGTATGGCATAAACTGTAATTCTTGACACAAATGTTTATTTTTTTTTTCCATTAAAAAATAAATAAACCAGCAACAAGTTGCTCAACTTTCCCGGCAACATTTAAAAGTTTGATGGCACTATCTGTTATTATATTGTATTAAAAAAACTCATAATGTAAGCTATTATAAAATGGAAAAAAAAAACTTAATTTAATTGAATTAATTGCATAAATATATTTTTTTTAAATCCAGCAACGAGTTGCGTAACTTTCTCGGTAAAAAACATTTAAAAGTTTGATGGCGCCATCTGTTACGAGATTTTATTTAAAAAACTCTTTATGTTATTAATTGTTATGAAATGGTAAAAAGCTTAATTTTGAAGATAGAGATGAATTTTATTTAAAAAATAAATTATATCTTCATCAGTTACTGGTATTCTTGGTCAAACTTGTCTACTACTACTTCTATTTCTTGAAATCTTGTATATAAGTAGTAAATTGNAATAAATGGTTTTTAGTAGCTCCACTGCTTGTTTAAACTTAACAGTTTGTGCAATATCCACTATTGGTCTAGATTCGACCAATCCTGTTGCAACACGAGTCGGCAATGACGTTTTACTGTATCATACGAGTCTCTTAAGCGTGTTTATAAGAATATGATCACAATTTTTTTGCCGTTATATACGAATCCATATTATATGAACCCGTTTTATAGGGGTCTACTGTATAATCTATAAAATTAATTGATATACAGAGTAATCAAAACAAAAACAAAAGCTGATTAATATTCATAAACATATAAATTATTTTACTCATTAAGATAATATAAATTAAAATTTGAATAGTAAAATTGAAATAACTATTGCTCAATAAAAAAACCATACTACCTGAAAAGATTTCTCCATATCACCCATATCCTCGTATAACATACTCAAAGTTTGAAATGGTTCTGGAGCAGATGGTTCTATAGAAAATCTTTCAGGTTAATTATGAAATTAATAGTTTGAAAATGTTAATGTAATAATATGAAAAAATTTTATTAAGGAACAAGCCTGATATGTTGAAATATTAAAAATGAATGTAGCATATGTCAGAGGTATTAAAAATTAATATCAAAAAAGTCATAATAAGAGATATATGCAATCTATATATATATATATGCATATTGTTGGAAAAAAATTTATTTTCATTAAGTTTATTAAAATTTATAAACTAATTCATTATTAAATCTGTTATTACACAGGCTTAATTTACAAAAATCAAAAATTAAAAAATGCAATATTAATTTGGTATATTCGTAAAAATTTAACAAAATCTACATTAGTTCTAATATTTATATGAAATAGAAAATATAATAAGTGATCAAACATTACTAGATATCTAACGAAGATATCATACACACAGCTATATAGTGAATAATTTCATTAAAATCTGATGTTTTCCTTATTCCTCAGAACAATTAAAATTTCATACAAAAGTTGTTTGAGTCATAATTTGTCACAATATGATTTTGTTGAATAAATAAATAATACATATAAATATATATTAGGGTGGTTTTTATTCAAGTTTTGGAAAGTTTGACAGGGCACATTCTGAATCTGTTCCATTATGAAAAAAAATTTTGCTAAAATTTGGTTAGTTTGCTTAGCATTGTGACATATTGCAATTTTTCAGATCACAGTAATTCGCTGCCAGTGCTATTGCCAACACTCAAGACAAAATATTCATTTTTCCTATGGATCAACTGAACAATCAGCAACCTGATAATGATTACAGAGAACTCATACCTCCATCATCTTTCTTGGAAGTGAGTTTCATCATGGGATTAAATTTCTTGCTCCTGATGCAATGCATAAGGCTTATTGATGGCCAAAACCATTTATGGAATCAAAATGCAGATGTTCAAGGCACAGTTTCTGTTGAGGAAAAAAGAGAAAGCTGGGTCATATGGGACATAGCACTTTGTTTGTGAGATTCTTTTAAAAGGTGTGATTCAAAGCTACACTTCTAACTGATGCACCTTTAAATGACATGGTGCTGAAGAACATCCAACAGTATAAGACTGCAAACTCCACAGCTACCTTTGCTGGTCATCTGTGGTACCTCAACAAAGAGTTGATAAAAGAGTACCAATAGGTGCAAAAGACAAAATGATTTCAGCTCTCCAAAATGAATGACAGTCAATGAGGATAGCATCTTGGAGAAAAATTTAGCATATTTTAATAATTAATAATGAGTTGGGATCATTGATGTTTAAAAAATATGTAAATCATGCACAGTGCCAAAGATGATACATTTTAAATCACAAGTCCCTATATATAGAGAGAAATATGTTTGAGGATATATTCAAAAAAAATTAATAGTACTACAAATACTAAAAAAAGAAGAGAAAGTAAAAGAGATTATCAAGATGATTTATTAAATGGATATAATAAATGTGTATTAAATAATTGGTTCACAAAATTAAAAAATAAAAGAAAAGAATAAATAGTAAAATTAGAGAATCAGACATTTGGCAAAATAACTTACTGTATATTCAGAAACTTTTCAAGCAAATTAAAAAAAATATTTTATCAATATAATATAGTATTGATCCCAGACCAAAAAATTAGAGTAGAACAAGTATTATAGAAAACATAGATACTAATAATAGAGGAAGATAAAATTAATTACTTATTTAAAAAGACAAGTATTACATATAGATTTAAATGTGATTGTCAAGAGCCATTCACTTACATCAGAAAGACAGGAAGAGAATTATGTAAAAGAATCAAGGAACATGTTAGAGCAATAAAATATGACTAAGAATTCGGGGTGTTGCTAGATATTGTGTGATGAATGCATGTCAGATTGTTCTTAATACATTAAGGATAGTCCAATCAGAGAGGAATATGATGAAAAAAAAAGTTATATGAACACCTGGAAATAGTTTAAAATAAAAATCTTTTATTGTTAATGAATGAGAATGATGGAGTACATTTACACAAGTCGTGGAATTGGTTTCTGGCTAATAGGAAGCAGAAGGAAAGGTTGGAACACCTTTCCTTGCAGTAGGAGTGTTGGTAAATGAGGCGGAAAAGTAATGAATGAAGATAACAATAGCAAGGACTGTGGCTAATATGTATAGTTAAAGAGAGGAACACAGGTACTGCAATAATTGATGTTATAATTAGGTTAATTTTTTAAAGAATTTAAATAATAATGTTTTTTTAAAGATAAGAAAAAATGATTTTATTATGGAAATTAGTAAAAAATAATTGAAATATTGAAAAATCATGTGAAGTAAACATTTTAAAAATTTTTTAGCAGTTCTATAGTTGTAAATTATAAACTTAATGTATTTATTGTATATTTACTAGAGTACTGAAAACTGAGCATTGAAAAAGTGTTTATGCCTTGTTTATGTTTAACCTGTATGAAAGAAAACCCACTGAGGAGAAATATTGTAATTTCCAAAATGTATCTAGATAAAATAAAGTTGTTGATTGGCTAGTATTTTTAGAGTCTGTAGATGTGATAATTCCTAGGAAATAATGGTGTTTGAACTGATTACATATTGAAATTAGAATATTGTGTGTTAACCAACACTTTGAGGATTTTTGACATATATGGTCATGATTCAAAATTCACAGAATTAGATTCTGAACTCTGACCTTCTGACATGAACTACATTGCAACAGGAAAGTGCATCAGGTCCAAAAAGTACTGCACATTAATGATACAGCAGAATACACTTTCCATGATCAAGGAATACAACTGATTCCATACCCAGGATGAACACAAAATCAACTTCTTCTGCAGGTTGTCAGGAAGAGAATGCTTACCAATAATAATTACTGTGTTTTCTTAATTCTAATGCACAACTTTTTTTTGGACTTTTCTGATCTTAAAAATTGGAGTGCACAGTAGAATTGGTGTGTGCATTAGAATCAATCACAAAGCCAAGTTAATCACTATGCTGAAGAACATATATATAGATATTTTAGTGTGATATTGTGTATCCAAAAACTTTCATACTTATGCATATCAATATAAAGTCATTGTTAAAATGTTGATTTTGTGTTAGTCCAGATTTTCTGTACTTTCTAATGGAAATCAATATATTCAAAAATATGGACATCATAAAACACTGTAAACATGAAAATAAAATGCTCTTCAAAAATGCATTAATGTTTGAATACATTGACTTCCCATGACTATGTATATTCAGTGATAAAGAGCTGCATCATATCCACAAGCTAATTTTTTTCAGGTTTTGATGCCATAAAAATCAGATGGCCATTAGAATTGAGAAAGCACATTAATATTCCACTGAGCGAGTATTTCTATGTATTGTTATGTTCATCTTGTGACATTGTGGCATGGAAATTACAAACTGTAAATTTTAAATGCTTAGTATTGTATTCCTTGTTTTGCTCAAAATAGAGAAAATTTATTGTTTCAAATTTTGGCAGCAATCTCTAAATTTCATTTCTTAAATCAATCAATTCATTTCTCAAATCAATTAAATTTCATTCAAATTCAAATCTTGAAAATATTACTTTTTCAATATTTGAACAAGTTAGGCAGGGGGATCTTTTAGCCCTTAAAATATAGGCTATATATATTTTTTTTATTAATAAAATATATATTATTATTAATATATTAAAAAACTTTAATTACAAGACATTTATGCATTAAGATATCTTAATCAACTTTACAGAAAAATGTTAAAATATATTTTTGCAAAATACATTGGATTTAAAATTTGGTCCACTTGATTGGGTCAAATCTCAAAGAACGGAAATCAAACTACAGTAGAGCGTCGTTTATCTGAATCAATTGGGGACTGGGGTGGTTCGGATAACGAATCATGTACGAAAAAATATATTAATTTATCCCATGTTGAAATTTCTCTCCGTTGCGTGTCGCTTCGCATTGAATTTTCGTCGATGTTAAGCCTAACGAAGACTATTGTATCGTTAAAAATTATTTTTTTATTTTGTACAAACAAAATAAATTTATTGAAAAATATAAAAACAATAAAAAATTATACTTCAGATGTTAATTTAGTATCAAAAACGTAAAATATTTGAGTAGCC